TGGTTTACTCATACACTATATACGAATGTTTTGTGCAGAAAATAGTACCTGACAAAGGGTAATGACCACAGATAGTGACTTGGGTGGTTCAAGCTGAGAATAAGGAAAAAATCATTGCTCTTACAGGGTAGCAGAGCACGACTATAAGGCTAGGGAGTCTCAGAGGCTCTTCACATTCACAGCTAAACAACACCATAACTGTCCAGGTTTAGTGTTGGTGAGAATTTGACAGGGTATTTGGGGTTGAAGACGCTGTAGATGTTTTACAACCAGCATTTCTGTGATTCTGGAGAAAAAAAAAATGCTATAAAGAGGAAAAGAAGACAATTATTTAAGCATTTAACTGGTATTTTTCTTTTCATCTTTAAAATACTAACTGGAATGAACTACAATTGGAATTTAAGGTAAATATTTTTAAAAAAAGATAGATAAGATGCTACAATTACCTATAATCCCCATTAATGTGTAAGGGATTAAAAACATTTGCCAGCCTGTAGGACTGAGCACTGTGAACAAGATAAAAAAAGAAGTGTTGGTAGAAAGTAGCTGAAGCTACAAGGAAATATATTTTTAAAAGTTATAATAAAACATATACAGATACATAGAGGATCTGGCTTATAGGCAACACCATTGCTGTTTTCGGTTAAAATAGTGATCTCCAGTGAGTAATAATACTTCTTAATGGTCCTTTCTTAACCCAGAAGGCAATTACTTCTTCCTCATGGTAAACCTCAACAAGAATAATATGTGCATATATGTTCCTATTTAAAGATCAGAATTAATTTGAAACAGTACAACTAATCATACTAGTCATGGAAAACGTAGATACAAACAAATGATGAACATAAAGAGCAAAAATGTATAATATCACCAGTGATAGCTTTCCTGAAAGAAGAAAATCCCACTATCCCACACTAAAGAAGAATATCCCACTGCTCTTTTCTTCATGCTTAACAAACAAGGAAAATGAAAAAAAACAAACTCTGTTGTCTGTCCAGATGCCCTTTCCCCTCCCCTTGTAAAAAATTGCCATATAGTAACAGTATTGCCAAATAACTTCATCATCCATAACATCTTGCAAATCTGACAGGAGGTCTTTTTCAAAGTCTTCACTAATGTTTTAAAGTGCTTTAGCAGCTTTCTTCTCCATCTTTATTTTATAGTACTCACATTCCTTCTCATCAGTGTGTTCTCTCATTTAGCGAACAAAGCCGAACTGATCCTATGGGTACTATTTCAAACACGAAAATCTGATGCATCTAGTTCTATGAGCCCAATACGTTGGTCTGTATTCCTTGTCAGGATCAAAGTTTCCCTCTTCTCTAAGCTCTGAGGAGTTTTAATATGTCACATATGTAAGATTAAGATTTTTTTTTCCTTTTTCTGGAAATCTCACAATAGGATAGATCACACATTCATGTTTGGGGTTGAGAGACATACTCAGCAAAAGTGAGATTCATTATCAGTTTGTCAACAAAATTCAATGCATCAAGAAGAGATGGGGAAAAAAGCAAAAGCACACAAGAGATACACAGTAGATAATTTTTCTTCTAAGTGAAATGACATTCTTTTCATAACCAAAAAAATCAAGGCAGTTCTGAACATTCATCAGAGCACCTTAGAATACCCAGACTGCCCAAGTGGGTGTGAAAGAAGCTAGGCCTCCAAAACAGCTCACTCAGTTTCTTAAAGATTTGGCAAAGTAGCAGAGCTAATAGCTGTTCCAATCAAATTCCACTTGCACTTCAGCCATGACACAACTGTGTTTATTGGAGATGGCATTTTTTAAACCTGGCCAAGGACATCAAAGTCAATGAAAAAAGTTTCTGTAGGTACATTGGTGATAAAACAAAGACCAGGAAAAATGTGAACTCTCTCCAGAAGGAAACAGGAGATCTGGTAACCTGGGATATGGGGAAAGCTGAAGTACCCACAATTGTTATACCTTAGTCTTCACTGGCAAGTTTTCTAGCCACACTGTCCCAGTTTTAGAATGCAAAGACAGCGGGTGAGAGAATGAAGGTCATGTTTGAGACCACTGTGAACCTTAACACGCACCAATTCATATTGACATGGTTTACCTGGACCTGTGCAGAGCATTTGACACTGTCCTGAACAAGATACTTGCTGCTAAGGAAAGAAACAATTTGATGTGTGGACTCAGTGTATAAGGAGTTGGCTGGGTAGTTCCACTCAAGCAGTTGCAGTCAGTGGCTCAATGTCCAAGTGGAGAGCAGTGAGTGATGAATGGTGTCCTCAGAGGCTGGTATTTAGACCAGTTTTATTTAACAGTTTTATTGGTGACAGGGACCACAGGATGGAGTGCACCCACAGCAAGCATGCTGACAATACCAAGCTGTGTGGGGGGGGTCAACATGGTGGAAGGAATAGAAGCCAGCCAGAGGGACCATGTTAGGCCTGAGAAGTGGCATGGTGTGAACCTCATGAAGTTCAACAAGGCCAAAGTGCTAGGTCCTGCACCTGGATTGGGCAATCGCAAGAAAAAACACAGGCTGTTAGGAGAACAGATTGAGAGCAGACCTGAGAGGGACTTGGGGATACTGGTAGATAAGAAGCTTGATGTGACCCATCATTGTGTTCTCACAGGCCAGAAAGCCAGTTGTATCTAGGGTTGCCTCCAAAACCATGTGTCCAGCAGGCCAAGGGAGGTTGCTGTCCCACTCTACCCCACTCTGGTGAGACCCTGTTTGGACTACTGTGTCCAGTTCTGGGGCCCAAAACATAAGAAAGACATGGATCTGGAGGAATGAGGCCAGAGGAGGGCCAGAAAGATGATCAGAGGGCTGGAGCATTGAAGTAGCTCCCTCAAAGTAGCTCCTTTGTCCCTCCTGAAGTAATCCTGGCTAGCTACATCGAGAGGAGGGCAGGGAAGCTCTTCACGACCAAGATAAAGACCAAAGGGCTGCTTTTCCCTCCAGGATAACATCAGATGTTTATTCAGGCTGGGATCCAGGAGGAAAAAGAGAAAGAGGAAACATTTCCCAGGTACTTTCATACCTCGGGAGAGGGGTGGGGAGACATATAACATCAACCAATGGGATAACATTTCAGGGACAGGGAGGGGAAGGGAAAAAACACGTCACAGCTGCAGGGAGGGTTTACACAGAAACTAAGGAACGCCCAGGAATGTGTACTACCACAGAGCATCTCTTCCATGATGAGAAAATGGGATAGCTGGGGTAACTGGGTAGTTGGACAGTTGGGACAGGACAAGTGGGAATAGCCTTAATTGAAAGAGGGCAGCTTTAGACTGGATGTTAGGAAGACATTCTTTACACATTGGCTTTATACATTCTTTACACACAGGTACACTGGAACATGGTGCCCCATCCCTGGAGCTGTTCAAGGCCGCGCTTGAAGGAGCTCTGAGCAAGCTGTTGTTTTGTCCATGAGAGAGGGCTTGGAAGTAGGTGATCTGCAAGATCCCATCCAACCTAAACCATTTTATGATTCCATGTTACTATGATTCCTTGAATTTACTCACATTTTACATTCATCCATTTATAACTCCAGTATTTCAGAGTGATAGCTAAGCCATTCAAAGTCACTGTTACAAGTCCCTTCATATCCATGTAATTTCTAGATTGAACATTTCTGAATGTGCTCAAGTGATTTGAGAGATGTTTTCACTCCCACAGCAGAACTCACACTTCCTGCGGGATTTCTTGATTTTGCACAACTTCTTCCTTAGCCTGTAAGAATTTAAAGTGACAAGTAAGACCCATACTGCAGTACCTCTTTTAGAGCCCATCACTCTCTGACCTGCCAAGGCTCACCACTGAGCCTGACTGTTCATGACAAAGAACAGATGATCTCACCACTTTTAATCTGAAGATACTTTGATTTTCACTCAGGATATTATTCTTGCTTGCTAACACCAATGTCTCTATCCCAGTGTCTCAGTTTAGAGACAAGTTCAGGAGAAAAAGCTCTGGACTGTCTGTTTCCTCTAGAAAAAAAAAGGGCTTCAGCAATCCCTTTTCTGCCAATGAGAAAATTAATACCAGTGGGTGAAAGCAAAGAAAACCAACTGTTTATTGATAAACAAAGTGCCCACACAGCACAGGAGAAAAATCAATAAATGGTAGATATTTAACACTCAGAATCTTCCCCCAGACACATACCCCCCCTGCTATTAGAACAAAAACCCTCAAAATGTCTGGGAAAGAAAGAAACTGGCTGGCCATGTGAAAAGGGGGAACAAAATGGCACCCGGCTTTTGAGTAAGGGAAGGAAAAAATGTTCACGCAGCAGATCGGATTAAACTGATGGGAACCTGTTGAACCTCTGGTGTGGATCTCCTTCTCACAGCAGATAAAGCTCGAGGATTTCAGTGTCTTCTTTCGCATTAGTTCAGCTTTGAACAAAGCCCATGCCAGAGCCCTTAGGCTCCCACCCCTTCCTCAGATCCACCTTAAAGATACAGCAGACATTTCTGGGCATAAAGCAGGTGATAAGGGAATAGTGTATCATCATAAAATCACCCAAAGGCACCAAGCAAAATAGAAAGTTAATATGATAAGAACTTTTGGGTCTGGTACTAAACTAGCCAGGTTCTTCTCCCCACTAGGCTGAGCTACAGATAAATATACCAAGTTTTCCAGCAAAATGACAAGTTTTCCTTAATTTCATTAGACAGTATGAAATTATGCATTTTAGCCATACAGAATGGTAAACAGAATGGAAAGTGTCTTGGCCCGTGCTGTGGATGGGGTAAGTAAATCAATAGTTCATGGGGGAAAGCTTCCAGCGGTACAGATTGTTTGAACTACTTACCATTATGTCAAATTCACTTTAGCATGAGCAAACAGACACATGATATGATGAATATTGAGAGAAAAACTATTTTTACTGCTTGCATCTAAAGGCCTAAAGTTATATAGATTTTTATAATCAACTAAGTCTTTATAACAAAAAACAAGAAACCCATTAAATCTTATAGACATAATTTCTTTCTTTTCTTTATTAATACCCATGTCCTTTATTTTTAATTTTAATAACACCTCCTCAGTGGGAATCGTTTTTGTCAAGAGAACTGAAGGAATGTGAAAGGACAGTGTCATCTGAAACCATATAAACATTTCCCACATTGGGAAAAAAAAAATCCCACTAAATATCATATCTGGTTGATAGCTTCCTTGACAAAAACATAATTTCCTCTTAAAAATTATATTATTCATGTCCTTAAATATGTACATAGTGTTGCAGAGATGGAAATAAGCATCTGCTTCAAGAACTCTATTGCAAGTAAGTCTTTAAATAAGCATGAAATTGATTTTACATTTGAAAGGCACCTATCATGTTTTCCAATCAACTGTTTTACCAAACTAAGACCATATTCTTCACATAAGGTACACAGCTGGCCTGCATTTGCTCAGAACTGAGTACATTGAACAGTATGGTTCATATAGGCTTGCATTTAAAAAGTGGTTATCATGGTTATTTAGCCCTGGTTCACTTTACTGTGGTCAGACAAGGCACTGTTTTTTACCTAATCCATTACATAAATCCATTTTACCAATCCTAAACCATTGTTTATTACCTAATCTGGGTAGGAAGACAGAAAATATGAGACAAAGAATAAGAAAAAAATGAGGTTACTGAAACTTGTTTGTAAAAGAGACAGACCTCAGTTAAAATTATAAGTTTACATAGCAAGATTTCTTCAAACTTCCCTTTTTTTTCCCTTTTCCTTTTTTTTCTATAGAGAAGAGTCCAAATTTGTCCACAGCCTTAAATAAGGGAAGACCATTACTGCCTTGAGGTGTCTTGGTTTTGTCCTGTTAATATTTCAGCCCAAGTATCACACCTGTCTGACACGTAGAAAGATCACTTTCACCAGATACTTAGGCTTTAAGACAGCTAACGTGGTCCCTCTTCCACTCCTGCACACTTGATAATATAACTACTTACTCAAGCAGGATTAATATAATTTTTGTTGAACTTTCCTTATATTCTTAAAGTCTGTAGCACTACCAGATGCAAAGTTTACTTTACTGGCCTGTTTATGGTGTTCAAAGTTTCATCACAGGAGTCAGCTTCTGCGGAATATTATCTGTAGTGATATGTATTTTCATTAAGTCTTATTATTAGATAGTTACTGAATGCATTAGTGTGGAAGGCTGCCACAAAGCCAGCTTCAATAAATGGGGGAAGGAGGAAAGAAATTTTATATTAAGCCAGGTGGTTTGGAGGTGGAGATACAAAGAGTAAAGAATGTGCATTGCTTCTCAAAGTTCCGTTAGAGGTTTTTTATGGGACAGAGCTGAGGACATGAATGCAAACCACAAAATCGGAAAAGTATCATGCCTACCAAATTATAAACACACTTTAGTGACTGAAATGTTGACATGAGCAATATCTTAGCAAAATAGTGAAGAAACACTAGTTCCAATGGTAATGTATTCACTTACACTTTCTTTTATTATGAAGCAGGTGTCTAGTGCACTCACACAGACAAGCACAACATATCTTCATGATTGATATCTTAAGGCCACCTACAAAATCAGGATGGGGTTGCCAGTGAATGCTTTTGAACAGTCTTTGCTAGACTGTTTAAAACCTATTTGAGCACTTTTTAAAGGCACTCTTTGAACACTTTAAAACCTTATTTTTAGGAAAACCAAGTTTCAAATGCTCAAAGATTGAAATAAAACAGGCTTCTAAAGATTTATTTTTTTTCACCTGAGCATGTGACTCCTGAGAAATTCCCTGGAAGCTAATATTGATCTTGATCAAATCTTGATCTTGAATAGAACTGGAAGAAAGAATTTATGTTTTTTATACTCATGAAGCTAATAGTATGAAAGGTGTTTCCCTTGTTTTGTAACATCACTGTCATGACACTACATAATGAAGTTCTGGGCTGTTCAGAGATTTGTACCATGGTGTCAATAGCTGAGTTGAGCATGGAGGACACGACACTATCACCATTAGACAGCATAGTATAGCTTTTTTTCATCAATATTGATATTTATGTCAGAGCAATCTCCATATCCCTGTCATTCATTCTACTAATACTGAGTGTACTTGCCCCTGCCTACCACCAAGTTTTACCCACAAGTGTCCTAGAAGTCTTATATCACAGTATGTTCTTCTTTCTAGTAATGTTGGTTTTCTTCCTTCCAGGGACAAAAGCTGCTTTCTCCGCTAAGAACTCAGAAGAAAGTTACTCCCTGCAATGTGTAGCAGAAGTCAGATTTCTGAAATTATTATGACATACCCTGTAAGAAATATGTTAGTTTTGTTCCACATAATCAAAAGAAACAAATTTTGCCAAGAGTCTTACTGTGTATTTTAAAATTAGTTAAATTACATTAGATGCAGCAAGATATATTAAGAAAAGTCAGTGGCATTGCTGTGTGCTGCTTTCCTTCCTGGTGTTAGATGACAAAATTCTATCCTGTCTCTGGTAGGAATCTGTCCAAGTGCAGAGCCCAGAGTCCCACAGAATCAGTCTAGATAGGTGACTACACACCAGTAAAAGGTGCTTGCAAACTCAGTGCAAGTAGTAGGAGTTCAAAGTGAATGTCTAAAAAAATTATTTGGGTACCAGAGCAGCACCAGAACTCATTGACATTCACATCATTCCCAGCTTCATTATCTCACCCAGATGTTTCCATGACTGCCCCTTTAAAGAATTCCTGTCTAAGTTTTATTTACATTTGTTCAACAATATTGATGCTTAATGAATAAATGCAGTATGCTGTCAGTACTGAAGACTAATTACATCTATGTATGAGCCTGAGAACCTGATTGAAAAATCTGCAGTAGCTAGACTGGGTTTAAATAAACACTTTAGTGTAGTGCTCTAATTACACTTTAGTTTGTAATGTAATTTTTGGCTGTTTAAACTATGATTTAGTCTGAGCCAATTACAAATTATTTTCTACTCAGTAATTAATAATAACAAAATTGTAATTAGACAGCTGCTCTGGATCAGGGTAGCAGTTTGTGTTAGCTGATTCATGGTAGAATGACAGATAAACAAGAGCTGCATTTGGGGACTGGAACTTACTGCACCTTTCTGTGTTTTGTTTTCAGTCAGAAGAGCTATTATGGTTGGGAGTACTTCAAAATACTCCTTGGTTTTGAGGACTGAAGCTTGATATTTACAGTGGGAACTTCCTGTGCTTCTGCCACTTGTGAAGGCAAGCCATTCTACTTGTGGTTGACAGGGATGGTGCAGGTTCCTTTCTCTTGCTCAACAGAAAATAAAGCAAACCTCAGTTTTTCCTGCATGCCACATGAAGAAAACCAGTAACATCAGAAGCTTTTTATCCACTACCCACCTGAAATTTACATACACTACAATAGATAGAAGTCAGGGATGATACTTCCATATTTCAGCAACTCCATGAGAAATACTCCATGCTCCAAAGGTGTTTGGTGGCAAAACACCCTCTTTGCTACCAGCATTACCTCAGAACTGCAAACCCAGAGAATAGTATTTGTCATGTACTACTCAAAACAGCATTGCTCTACTTCTGCTGATTTGTAAGCTTCCTCATCTTTATCTAAATTCAGCAGGCCATGTAAGATAAACAGTGAATCTTCTTCAGATAACTATCTACCCCATAATCACCAAGGATTGATTCTGGAGTATAAACAGATGCCTGAAAAGAACGAAGGACACTGCTAACTTCCTTGTTCATTTGGGGTGCCAGACTTGTCAATTCCTGACATTTACTCTGTTTATTTTTTAGTTGGTGTGGGAAATGCTGTTGTATTTTCAAAATGCAAAACATTAACCATTTCATGAAAAGAAAAATCGAAAGGTGTTAATAAATCGTCTTTGGGAAACATTTGGTATCCTCTTATTCAAAGTAGGCTGTAAAGTGTAAATTTGCCCAAAGTTGGAGAAAAATATAAAAACAATTACAATCACTCAGTGGCAGCTCTTTAAAAAGTTATTTCTTCTAACAGCTGAATTGAGTTTTTTCTTCAAGCCTATTTGAACATTCATGTTTATGCCACCTAATAAAAGATAATAATTGAATACTAAGTAATACACTGCAAAACCCCCTTCACATGCTTTAGGATTAGAATCTGTCATAAGCTGCAATGTTGTCAGAATATTATGTATAATTGAAGAAAGACTTTAATTGAATATTTTTATAATATATCTATATAAATTCTATATATATATAATATATATATTATAAATATTATACTGTATGTATGTATGTATGTATGTATGTATATATATGTATATATATGTATGTTTAAAAAACAGACAAAATTGTACCACTGGGAGATCTTAATGCATACAGCTACCCCCTCGTTACTTACAGTAATCTCATGTCCTGGTACATATGAGCTGCCAGCAAAGTCGGTGCATCTCTAACTGAAAAAGCCATATAAGGGATAAAAAATCACCAGGAACATGCACACTAAAATGTAACTATAAATCAATCATATAAATAGAAACCTTAATACAACTGACAGTCTATAATTATGTAAGTAGTTTGAACAACATACTGTAACTGATGTTTTTCTTAAAATACTTCCTTTGAAACACATTGCCTTCTAACAGAGCATAATCATCAGTTTTACAATGTCTCCCATGAACCATTTACAAAGGAAGAGATGAATGATTTGTCTAAGTCTAAAATCTAAACCCCCCAGACTATCCTATGACAAGGCCATAAAATTGAAAAATAGAATACAATGACAACTCTTTGGACAGACACAAAAATGAATAAAATAGTGCCTGCCTGAACACATGCACTTCTCTTGATTTACAGAGAGCAAGATAAATAAATCTCAAAGTAGATGTGTTTAATTAAAAATAACCTGTGTATTCTTTTTCTGCCCCTTTTGGAGCACACCTCTGTTAAAACTGTCCTTGATCATAATGTGGTAAAAATCTGTGAAATACTTTGTATGTTCCTATTTCAGACATTTATGCTCCTGATATGTATCCCAAACCTAAGATTAAGCTAACATTTCTAAAATTAAGTAACAGCTCTCTCTTTAATATCCTTTCCCCCATGTTTTCAGTGCAAATTTGTGAAATAAAAAGAAAACCTTTGAGTTTATGTTGGCATCCTAAATTTCTGTTAGCAGCAAAAGTGTCCTAAAAAATCAATAGTGCAGTTATATGCGCTTGCTAAGTGGATTAAAAACAAACCCTATTTTTAAATGAAACAATATTTTTCATGGGAAATCTAGTCTCAACTACTGTACCTAAGATAGCTGGCACCATTACAATGAAGTGTTAAAGTAGGTGTGTCTTGTACTTTAGGCAAATGTAGCACGTCCTAGAGATTTTCAGAGTGCGCTAAATCACACTCACCTTAGCAAAAATATTTTACCCCTAATTTTGATTCGCTTCCTTTGCTTTCAACATGAAAGCTTCAATTCTCATATGCCTGTATGATGGAATGGAATGGCATAAGGCAGCAGTAAGAAGATTAAAAAAAGTGGGCGTTAAATTTCTTCAAAAACTAATTTAAGGTATTTCTGTGGCAAGAAAGGATAGAGGAACTCCAAAAAAACTCCCTTTAGTAAAAAGCAGCAGTTGCGTCCCACAATAAGAGGTGTGGCCTATGGGCTGAGAGATCTGATCCTTCCCCTCTGTTTAATACCGGTATGGTCAGCATTGCCATGTTGTGCCCACTTCTGTACCGTGTACAAGCCAGGGAATAGAGTCAGAGAGGAGGCCCAGCATAGATACTGAGCAGCACTAGAAACCACAGAGCTTGGTCACTGACAATGTCCCCTCGGCTGGCAGAGGGGGTCGGTCTCAAAGCAGTAGGCGGTGGCACGGCCCAGCTCTGGGGCCCTCAGACACCGCCTGCCCACGGGCTCCTGCGCCCGTCTGGGGCCCCGCCCGCCTCTGGAGCACGGGGGCCGGCTGTGCGGCTGCGGCCTAGCGGGGCATCGAGCGGCACATTGAGCTTGGCATTTGGCCTGCTCTTCCATACAATAAACATCCAGATGCTTTCCAGGAGTTGGTTTCATCCCGAAACCAAAGAGCTACCCCTTGTAAGGAATACTTACCCAAGGATTTCTCTGCAGTGCTGGAAACACAGGAGGAGAAATTCATGGGGTGTAGAATTAGTTTCTTTAACGTCAGTTTCACACCTCTGAGCAACTTGTTGGTGTGCTGCAGTCAGGATGACATTAGTCAGCTTGGTGCAAGGAAAAGCCTTTCCCTGGTGTGCTCCCTGACTCCCACATGGCAGCACAGGGCTGTGAGGCTGCACATGGCCCAAAAGACTTGTGTGTAGCCCAGGGATGCAGGCTGTGTGACAGCACCAGCCCTGATGGGTCCTCCCGCTGTTGCCTCTGCACCCAGGTATTCCTGGTCCTTCTCCAAGCTGACTTGACACAGCCTTTCCTTCTCACTTACCTGCAAGAGCAGCCCAGCTCTGCTAGTCCAAACTCCCACAGCTGTACTGGGAAGGCAGGTAGGACTTGTTCTAATTGCCCATGTGCGTACATTGCCTTGGCTGTATCTCTTGTCAGGCAAAGGAAACTCCAGGCCCCAAGACTCCCAGGTTTTCTGGGGGCATCCCTGAAGCAGGTCAAGCCCAGTACACTTAGGAGGGAGTGCTGGAGGAATGGGAAGTGTACCTGAGAGCCTGTATTGACAGAGAGCTCTGGACAGTCTTTTCCAACAGCAGCCGCTGACACATTCCTAGTAAATAATTTTGTCTAATCATACCATCACCAGGAGTCCCACACAAGTACTGACAAACAGCGTAACCCTGAGCAAAAATGCTTCCATCATTTTAAAGGCTCCATCCAAGCCGCAGACTCTCAGTGCCGTCTCCCTGCTAAACCACTGGGAAGGGAAGTAAGCCAGCAGGCACTGGTGGCACGGAGGCAAAGCTGGAAGCAGGGAGGGGCATGGCATGCTTCTTTTTGGAGTGCACCCACAAGGCTGCCAAGGCACAGACAGCTGCTCAGCTCTGGCCCTAACCTTGACACTGCTAGGGACCCTGTCCAGAGTATGTTGTCCCCATACTTTGGCCACTTTTGTCTGGACATTAGCATGGCTTCTTTTTCTGTTCAAATGGAGACATTCAGAATTTAAATCTTGTCAATAGTCTGTAAGGAAACGCTGGGTTAGTGCCTCATATTTTAAAGCTTCAAGGAAAGTCCCTAAATTCCCTATGTACTTTTAAAATATTTTGCTAGAATGTTAATACAGCAACTGCCTTTAGATAGTCAACATTTCTGAAAACTGCAAAAAGTCTGGGATAGACATGAGAGAGTAATTTCCCTGTACTGTCTAGGGAATTTAGTTTTCCCATGGCAAGGTATTGTGTGGAACACTTAGAAATATCTTTTGAAGGAAAACATTTCATACATCTTTGTTTCAAGACACTTGTTTATGAAATGAGAATCAAAAGATTCAGCTATTGTTTACAAGAATAAAAGCAAGTAAAATAACAGACCACTTAAAGAATAAAAATAATTTGCCATATAATCCATATTAACTTTTGGTTTTGTTATATGTTCTTAGTTAAAGAATATATCTATAATTTTCTTTATACTGATTTTTTTTAAGCTTGTCTGTATTCCTAAGTTTACAATTAAAACTTCATCTAGGTGTCAAAGTCTACCAACACATCAGCTCTAGAAACAGTATTTCTTAATCATTCACGTAGAAAACAACAACAACAACATTTAGTCATCATTAAGAATTTGATATCTTATTTGATTTCTGTGAGTCTAAGTTGATAATAACTGAGTGAAGAGCTGTTAAAATTAAGAGTAAATTCAATCAAACCATGTCTTAAATATAATGTTGTATTTTAATCCAATAGCTATTAAAAGTAATTCTCTTTCCTTGCTTGTAGTTATAAGTACCTTCCAAAACTGCCGGTACTATGTGTACAGTATTTAATGCTTCCCAAAAGTTTTGAACATTGACCCTGCTTTCTCTAGCCACAAATGATAGGGAACAAATTAAAGGAAAATTAATCTCTTTGAAGACAGATGTTAAGGAACTAAATTACCCGGATCCTTTAAACAGAAATTGTACCCTAAGTCATCAAGAGTAAGTTGGTAGACCTAGATCATTTATCACTGGCCACAGAACAGATGTTATACATATTATGGGATAGGAACAAATATCTTAAGCAATTAACATCACAAAGTTGTTCAAACAGAGTAAAAATGCTATAATTAATTTATGATTCATCATTTAGGATCCAGTTCATAATCAATCTTCAATATTTGTGTATTTCAAGTCTTTATACATCTCACTGAAGTTATAGATGCATTCAGAAACACAAGGTCAGAGTGATTGTTACTCCATATTGAAAGGAGACCTTTGAGCCAGCTCCTCAGAAGCGGTTCCAGTGCTGACTCATGTCTTCAGTTTCTATGCTTGCCAGTGTTTTGGGAAAGAGTAAAACACCTAAACTTCATAATAAAATGCTCAAATTGTCATGTGACTTGAAGACTAACAGTCTTGGAATAGGGATCAAAGAAGAGTCTTATTGTGGCTCTTTTAGATTGGGAGAAAAATATACCAGTTTTCAATCATCCTAATAATGACTCAAAACCATTAAATTTATTAAGAAATCTTTGTCTTAGGAAACTACCTGTGAGCCATCTGAATTAACAGTACCTCACTTCATATGACAGTGTTGTGACTGTTTAGCACACCTTATTTACAAAGAAAATAGGATCTCCTGAAAAGTTATAGTTTGCCATTAGAAAAAAATTAGGTCTAAAGTATTGCCTTCCTTATAGAAAAAAAAAGTGTGCATATATGTCTCTCGAGATGTCTGTCAATACAATGCAATGTTTCCAAAGGTGGTACACAAGGAAAGATTAGAAAGAATTTTGCCTTCAAGAGGAGAAAGAATTTTACAAAGCAAATGCTGTTTGTGAGACATCACAGCAGGCAGACTAATGATTTGCTTTTTTCTAAATTTCTTTCAGGTGCAATCTGATATGGTTTGGCGGGGGAAATACACCTTTTCAGACGTGGCGCAAGAAACAGGAACCCACTCTTTATATTCTGACATATTCTCCTTTCTTCGAATACAGGGCACATGATTCATGAAAGTGTGTTGGGTTTGTATGGCAAGGTTTAAAAACAAGGAGTAATTTAGAAGTGGCTGCTGTAAGCAGCTTTTGCCATGTCTCACAGAGCCAATGCCAACAATGCTCCAAGATGGACCCACCACTGGCTAAGGCTGAGCCCACCTGTGACAGTGGCAGTACCTCTGGGATCACGTATTTAAAAAGGGCAGAAAAACTGACCACAGCTCTTATTCTCTCTCACATGTGCTGTTAGTGGAGAAGAGCTGGAGAATCCTGGAGTTGAAGCTGGGCCTAGGAAGGGGGAAGAGGTGGGAGGGAGGTATCTTAGAATTTGGTTTTGTTGTTACCGTGCTCTGAGTTGATTAAGAGTAAACTAATTTCCCCAGCCCTGTTTTGCCCATAACAGCAATTTCTGAGTGATATCTTCCTGCCTTTATCTCAGCCCACAAGACTTTCTTTATATTTTCTCTCCCATGTCCAGTGGAGGGGAGTAGTGTTAGACATGCTTTAGTGGGCACCTGACATCCAGATAGGGTCAATCCACCATTGCAAGTATTGCTATTGATTTTTACATTTTCCCTGCATAGACTGACATGTGTTTACTATTGCATAGTAACATACTATTCAGGCTCATGTGCAAGAATACAGGTCTTCTAAGAGTTGACTACATTTTGTAGATTTCCGAAACTTGCCTTCTCATTGGAGTAATGCATTTGATTTACAACAGTCAGGTGGTAGGCATGGCTTTGATTTCTCTGGCACCTGAGACCTCTTTTCACCTCATTACCTCTCTTCCTTGAATTATTTTTTTTCCCCATTCTTAGGGTAATGAATAGCTTTAGAGCAAACATGGAGTTTTCTGGTGTCTCTGGATCTGCCACAGAAATAATAAGGTGAATTTTGTTTATTTATGTGAGAAAATAAGCCAGTGTAAATGTCTGCAATGTCCACACCTTAAGTTAGAGACTCTCATACTAAAAAAAAACTTGAATGGGAACACAAGCAAAAGATAAAAATAGTTGAGTCGAATTTCAAAGAGCAGATGCAGGATTATCCTGCTGCAAGACTTCTCTGCTACAAGGTATTGTCAAATCTCCGCTGCTGTATATGATCACTCTTCTACCAAGGGGAAGTTCAAACAACTCTCTCTGCCTTTCTTCCTCTAGATTTCAAAGCAAGACTGTTGTTTGCAGGAAAGAACTTCCTAACTATTTTCCTGGTGTAGGGAAAAAAATTTCTCTTTTATACTTGATTATGTCTCCAATATTTCAGCAGTACATGAGAAGGATGGATGATTATCACTTCATTTCTAAGTGTTCAGAAAATTATTTAAGTGATACTAGAGTAACAAAAATTTTCCTGTCAGTCAGTGCTCAGGGGCCAGGGAAGAACAACAAGAAAATTACAGGTCCAAATGGAAGAACAGACAAATGCTGCGATAGAGTTCCATGATATAATTTAGAGTTTCTTCCCTCTCTTCTTGATAACAAATAATTACAAAAACACCTCAAGAAAAAGCGCTAGCTAAAACTGGATTATAGCCAATGCATAATTTTCCAGTTAAATCTTGTTACTGCATCAAACCCAGAGTTTAGTAAACTACTTGTCCTTTGAAGCAACTCTACCTCCTATTACACAGTACTCCTTAGGCTGAGAGGAAAACGTTCACAAGACTGCTTCTGAAAGAGTGAGGAACACAACCTAAGATCACTGGGATACTAAGCGACGAATTTTGAAATTTATTTTCATATGCATGGTCTGTGTCTACTATAGTACTTTGTTTCAGAGGAAAAACGTTATTCTGAAATAAATCTCTTTATGCAGCTAGTGACTGTGTATTGTTTCATTTGATAGAGGTGAAAATACTTCCTTTTGGAGGATACGAGAACTGATCCTGTGATATGGGCACTCATTGAATGCCCATTGAATGCACCCCACCTCCCACAGGGCTTCAGGTCTGTAACTGAGCATTACACAGTCTCAAACATATCTCTGCTAGCAAAATTTGGTCCAGAAGACAGGACTAAATATGATCTGAAGTAGAATCTCCAAACAGCACTCAGCACAGATGCCAGGGTCTCAGTACAAGCTTCTCCAGTCTCCTGATCAGGTAATCACTCAAACAGGAAGAGAGGCCTTTAAATTCAACCACCTGTCCAGACCAGATTCAATAATAAATCAAGACTTGGCTTTTCAGAGCTTTTCCCTGCTCAAGTAAAGACTAGAAAATTCCAAAGTCAGACTCCATAGCTTCTCTGAGAAAACTAGTCCAGTTTTGATCCTTTCTTATTGTGTCGAAAAGCTAATTCTAAACATAGCCATGGGAACAGACAGGAATTAGGACTGTTTGTGACATGAACAAAATTTGTATGTCACAGCCCTTTCTCCATTACCTTTATTCTCCCCATAAAACAGCAATGGTTACTTCTTTTTGTCAAGTGTACTGCTGTGGGGATGTAATTGAGCTTACACCTTCTGTAAGTAAGGTGCATCATTGCAGAGGATTTATGTAGTCCCCTTTTGCATCTACTTGTGACAGTTAATTTTCTCTGCACTCCTTTGAATAATGACATCAATAATGCCACTACACAAATGGTCATTTCTTTCAGTGGAGGTTAAGTTTAGGCAAGTATTTGTCAAGAATGTTGTAAGTTTAGTGTCCCTGCTGTGGGTAAAGGACTAGTCAAATTATTTTTATCGATTTTCCCCAGTCTTTATTCTGAGTCTGAGACTTATCACTGATAAACAAATATGATTTCAGCTAAAGTTATAGCATAAAGAATAAAGATGTTCTGCAGCATGCAGCAGTATTTGATGATGTTGGAGGTCATGTTTATGTAAAGCACAAGGTTAATAGTAGAGATTTTTTTAACAACCACTTTCATTCAGTGTGTGAAGTATACTTATGATTATATATCATGTACACCAGCACCAGACATAAGACATATCTGTCACATATCTGTCCTCTGTTCTTCTTTAAGTAAGCATTTTAGAAGAAAAATAATAAAATTATCTATCTTGCAAAACACTCGTTCACATTTCTTTTTGTGTATGATGGATTTCCCACATACTGCTATATAAAGTACCAATTGAAACTCACCCTGTCATGTATACTTCTACAAAATACGAACTGTGCTAAATACTTTAAAGTGAATTGATTTCCAGTGAAAGTGTTTTAACCTCCTTTTAGGTCAAGAAATAACAATTTTCCAAGCTCACTGTAACATGAGAATTAATACTGAGAGGCAGGTGTGCACTGCATAATTCATTTAGTCTGTGAAATGTATTGAAAATACTCTTTCTCTGAACTGTACTTGAAGATTTTATTATAAATTTTAGGTGTGGTTTCTTTAACTTGTATTTTAAGTTGTATTCAGAGCTGATTTCTCTCAGATCACCTAGAGGACTGCAATTTGCAATCTCTTCCTTTGTTAAGAATATAACAACAGAATGAGCAGCAAAACATGACAGAGTATGCTCATACATATAAAGCTTGGGTACATTGCTGAAGCAATTTGCAAGTGAAAAATACACATTTTCTTTGTGTATTCACAAGAGTAGAATACTTAGGAAAAGGACACTCTGGCTATCGTGAAGTAAAGATTTTTTTTGTGCTGAAATTCTATTCCTGGATGTGTTGCATTCAAGACTCACTGCATTGAAGAGTAAGAGCACAAAGAGCACAGTTCACACTGTTGACCTCATAAACAGCTGGTGGTACAAGGAGAGAAATAATTTACAGTAGTTTTTCAAGTGACTCTAACCATGCCAGCATTGGAAAACTTCATTCCACACATCAATGAAATATTTTTACTATTTCTCTTACATCATTATCATCCTTATTAATCCTTGAATATATTTTATTTTGCTCATAAAATAGCCATTTGTTTTTCAGACTTAAAATATTTATTCCTAGTGATGAATATCAACATAAGTAATTGAGATCAGGTGTTTGGTATAACACATGGCTCTGTACTAATGAATTTTTTTTAATTGATTAGATGGCACCATTTCTTTCTTTTTACTAATGAAATTAGCAACTGCAGCCTCTTGGCTATGGCCATTCATTCTACAGACAGCTGGCTCATTGGACGATATACTTTACATATTTTTAGCTCTAGACTTGCACAAACTTCAGATTTATTGGAAAATATTCAAAAGACATAAATGAGCCAATGAAGGTGCACAGGAGTTGGCAAGCTGTTTTCCACTAGCAATTTTTAAATCCCCTTCTGAAAATGTTCGAATTTTTCTCCTGTAGGTTCTTTTTTTCCCTTTCAGGTTATGCTTAAAATAAAAAAAAATTTTAAAAAATCAATTATAGGTAGTGATATATTAGACCTGTGGATTGTCTTGTTGCAGAGACAATTACAGAATTAATTTAGATCTCTTATTTCACATATGATAAAACACAAAATGAAACAGCAAGACCAACAGGTCAATAGAAATGTAAACACCAATCTTAAGTACTTAAAAGGCAATTACAGCATAATTTTTAATAGTACAAATCCTCTATACTGTATGCAGAATTTGTGCAGATTCTTTGTAGAATGAATCACAGCAAGAGAACCAAAATCTGACCCAACGTTTTCCTGTACTTTTTTGTGGACTTGTTCATGAGCTCCATATTGACATCAATGGACTTGTTAGGCTGTTTTCTTTCCCTCCGCAGGGTATCTTGTTCCTTCACCCAAAAAAACCCACAAAACCTTCTTGTCTCAAACAGAAGTGCTAATTTGCAGTTCCAGTCTTAATACTTTTCTTAATACAATAGCACACATTCCTTATTCCTGATGAGGATCATTGGTCTGTGGCATTTTTGTTTGTTTTTATGTGATGATATCTCATCCTGTCTACTTCAGACTTGCATGTGTTATCTAAAAAGAAAATAGATCTAATTCTTTATTTCTAAAAAAATAAGTACAAGTGACTTGTTCTAGGAAATCAGACTGTTGTCGTTGCAAACTGGATTAAAATCTCCCACATGTAAGAAAGAGGAGGAATAATCTTTCATGTTCCTT